TTTTTTTTTTTTCGTGCGTAAATTAGTAAAATATACATAGTACCTTTGTATTCGTTCCTCCAAGTTACAAGGAGTGGTAGTAACGTTGCAAAACTTCCCTATGCTGCCGCTGAACGTTTAGATCCGATGTCAAGTTCTCTTTTTGACACATTCGAACGTGAAAGTCTCCCTCCGGTTAAATTTCAACCAACAGAAACGCATTGCAACTTTGCACGTCTATACATCACCAAGGGTTCAAAGAATATTAAAAAATGTAGAGATGAACGCAATGCAATTCTCGTAATTGTGAAGGATGTTTCTTATGAAATCAGTGAGAATCGATTGCGATGTAATGTGATCACTTCAAAACCATTTGGCGAGCTACGTGATCTCGACACGTTCGAATTATCAGATGCACGATATTGGACCCGAGTTGCCTTACTTGATAAAAAGGCACTCGATCTTAAAGTTGGGCCAAAATTCTTTAAAGAATACTTACGAGAACCTTTTAAGGTTTCGGAATATGAACAACAGCGGGACAATAAAAATTTTTTGAAAGCTTTGAATCTATCTAAGTCACGTTGATTGAAATTATCACGTGATCTTTTTTTTTAATTTATTTTCAATTATTTTTTATTTATTTATTTTATTTATTTTCGATCAATACGATCAATACAAATAATCAAATTTAGATAAATTATTACTTTTTTAAAATATCGTGTAATTTCTCTTATATTGATGCATATTTTATTTATTTTCAATCAATACAAATAAACAAATTTAAATAAATTATTACTTTTTTAAAATATCGTGTAATTTCTCTTATATTGATGCATTGAAATATCAATCCGATCATGGGTATCATACAAATACAATAGATCCGCTACATGCATAGATACATTTAAAAAAAACAAGATATCAGATAAAGTATCGTTTTCGCACATCTGATAATCCCTTTCGGTTTATTTGATGTATCAATTAACCTTTAACATTTTTTTTTTAACATTTTTTTTTATAACTTTTCAGTTTTAATTAAATAAATCAAATATTGATTATCTTACTAAAGTCCGAAAAAAAAACTTTATTTCAATACAATCAATACAATAAAAGGTAATATGTTTCCAATATAAAATAAGAACAGAATCCATGAAGCAATGAGATAGATTTAATACAATTGATTATCCAAATATATTTATTTTGATTATAGAACATGTAAATAAAAACAATTCAATGAGAATTTTCTTTCGAAATCATTCGGCGCGAACTTCCAATAAGTCATTAAATTAATTGCAACGATTTGTTTTTAATTATTCAACCTTTAAGACCAGTCACATTTGTTCCATGTAATCCAACTTTTATTTATCAGAAACATTAAAAGGTAATTTCCATTAAAAAAAGTATAAATAGAGTTCTTAAAAAAAACGATTATTCGCTAAACAAAGTGTTGTTAATAAACTCCATAATATCTAAATCAAATCCGAACCCCAATTAATTGGAGAAACTAACCCTTCCCATGAAGTCCAAACTGGGGATATATCAAGAGTCAAGAAAAGAAATACATATAAGCTCCCCATTATCTTGGGAGATTAATCAAGACAACAACAAGGTATTATTTAGTTTGAATACTAAAGATAAGAATATATTACATGTATTAACAATTTACAATTTTAATAATTAGTGACCATGTGTCCAGGTGGTTCGTCAATTATTTCTTCTTTGAACACCGTAAGGGAGTAAACAGACGAATCTTCCTTTTAATAACAAATATTGTGTTGTTATCTGTTTCTCTCACAATAATTTTTCAGAAAAATGTTTATTTTTATGTATTTTTATTTTATGAAAAAAATTAAGATTTTTGTGATTTCAATCGAACCTTCGATTTGGCACGTTACGAAATAAATGTATTCCTTGCGACATCAATAATAACACGATTTTTTTATTATTATTTAATTCCTATAAAATTCTTTTTTTTAAAAAAAAAAATCTTCATTCATTGACGTGCACTATCCGAAATTTTTTTTTTTTCGTCGAAATTATCGTATTCTCTTATCGTTATTTTCGTTATTTTAAATATTATGTACTTTTCAAAAGTCAACTGATATTTCTTTTTTTTCTTTTTATAACACGAATAATTTTTTATATACAGTAATAATAAATTTATTCGATTACTTTATTATGCAAAATTTATGTTAATAAATACAAAATAGTTTAGCTTCTTTAATACATATGGCGTAATCACATATTTAAAGAAATTTAGGGTGATTTTTTCTCTTCAAACTCTTCTCGCAATCAAAAAAAAAAAAAATTTCAAAAAACAAAATAAAGTATCTTCCAATATCTTCTTCTATAAAATAAACATTTTACTTCTTAGAGCCCCTATAAAAAATTTTTTGGAAAATTGATCATGTCAGAGTTTTTTTGGAATGAAAACGTAATGCGGGAGAAAATACCAATTGGTAAATGTTCTTAAATTTCATTATTTATTATTAATCTTTTTTTTTGCAACATTAATTTTATTAATATATAAATTAAATAGGACCACGAACTTCTAAAGAACAATCGCTTTCTTATTTTGTGAAAATAATAAATTTCAAAATGGAATTTTTTATTTTCACAAAGTAAGAAAGCGAAAAAAATTTACGAGGGCTTGTAAAAAACGAATTTTAATTTAAATAGGCCATCTTTAATTATAAATGAGGAATCACAAATTGATAATTCATCATTTCAATTATTATTACGTTTCATTTTTAAGAGAATTGGATGTAAGCTTTATCTTTAATAATATTTAGTTATATTTTATTATTTATTTATATGGCATTGAAGAAACGGCAAATAAGAAATAAAAAATAGAGTATATTAAGTATTGAAAGTAATATATGCAAAAAAAATGTTATTCAAGGAAGATGTTCTAAACCATCTTTACTCTTCTCAGCGAGTAAAGATCTTTCTATACGTTTATAGAACCTCAAGACCATGCAGACTGTCACCATCTTCGCCGAAGAATGTGTAGTAAGGATAGTCATAATATTTAGTCATAGTAATATTTAGTTATTTTATTATTTATTTATATGGTATTAAAGAAACGGTAAATAAACGATAAAAAAAATAATAAACTAAGTATTTTAAATGAGTTCATTTACTGCAAGGGTTAAGATAGATCAAATTTTCGTGTTTGATAAAAAAAAAAAGCCGTATTGACGTGGTGTAGAAGTAGTAGATTTGAAAGTAATATATGCAAAAAAAAGATAAAAAAAAAAAATGTTATTCAAGGAAGACGTTCTAAGCCATCTTTACACTCATCCTAACAATTTTAACATTTTTAAACTCGCCGTTGTCGGAGCGATAACCGCATCATAACAATTAGAGGAAGTTTGTATCGCAGCTTGAGAAGCATAACGGGAATTCGGTGAAAGATTCGGTTTTTGGAAGGGCGTTTCTTTGGCTTCTACTTTCCCTTGGGCCTTATTTTGGTTTTCTCTGAAATTTCACTCCAATGATCTTAATTCGTGATTTAATTCCTTGCAGCCTCTTAGTTACAATATCGGTACTACTAGTAAGATACCCTCTATAACCAATTTTTTTCCGTAATATTATAAGTCTTCAAAAATGCACAATGGTATGTGTTTGTTTTCGCTTAGCTTACATTTATTTTAAAGCCAATCGTATTATTCCCAATAATTAATAAAGATTCGAACTTGCTAATATTTCTTCATTATAGTAGAAAGATTCGAACTTTCTACTATTTCTTCATTATAGTACTTCCTAACAATATTTACATGTTCTGCTGTAATAATTGAAGATGATATTTAATTGTCTTCTAATAATCTTTTTCAATAAAAGTTAAGGATATTATTACGTAATTTTTTAGGGTGACCCGTGGCTGTGTAGCAAAAATCTTGCGTTACGCTTAATAATAACGTCACGATTGTTCAAAACTACTGCCTTGGCAGAAGTCTCTTGAACATTTTCAATTATACGTTTCTTTGTTTTGGGACTTTTGTTTTTGTCTGATACACTATATTCATCAATCTTTGCATGACTTGATGCTCCAGAATATATCATTTCCATTATTTCTCGAAAACTGACGCGTTTCGCGTTTTCGATCTTGCACCATGTCTATAATCCAATATGGCGATTTGAGTAAAATAATTCATGTATTTCTCATCTTCATTTTGGCTTTGTTTTTGTAATCTTTGAAATTCGCGATGAAGGCAATATGATATTATTTTTTGAATAAAAGACTTTCTGATTCGATCGGTAAAAAATTGGCTATTACTTTATAATTGTATCCACCATAACTTCACACCATTATCCTCATAGCACTAAAAGACTAAAGTGAACTATTTCCTTGTGAATGTTATATATCCTTAGTCCTATTCTAAAAACGGTCATAATATAATTGACACTTTTTTCTAAAAATATACTGCCTTTGCGAAAGACTTACGCTCAACTATACACCCTTCGTTGTTGTTCAATCCTCAATAGTAATTAATAAATACATTGCTTTTAAAAACTATTACATACATTTGAAATTATACCATATAGTAGTTCATAATTTCGTTTTTCTAGTTGTGTTGTTAATAAAACGAACGTAAATTTGATCAATAAATAATATACTTTATATAAAATATTACGTTAGTTACGCTAATTAAGTCATTGTTAAAAGTAAATTTACACTAATAGTTCTCTTGTTGGTCGTGGAAATGTTTAATTGAATATAATTATATTTCTGGGAGCAAAGTAAGGGTATATAAAAAAACGTCATATCTGTTATTAAAAAAAAATCCCAGAAAATTTTTTTTATACCACCCCCATATCAATTGTTAAAGATGATGTGATCTTGATAACATCGCCACATAAAAAAACGAGGCTGTACGCGGGGAACATATTTAAAATTAGAAATTCCGTATGAATTCCGTCTAAAAATTTTATGGGGCAAACCTTATTATTTATGTACTCGTATGATTGTATTACAGAGCGAAACCTTAACAGGTAATATTAACTATTAACTTGGGGTTTCGGCTGAAAATGGTATGATAGAGAGTAATTTTTTTTTTTAAAAAAAAAATATTTATAAATCTATTCTTCAAGTCGATAGTAGATAATTAAATTTTAATCTTTTCAAATATTGACTTACATCCCTGTGAAATTTTTTTTGTAAAAAGCTCTGATAAATGATCCTAAGACGTAAGATGAGTGAAAAGGAAAATCTTAAAGACAAAAGTCTAACAAAACTAGAACTTGAGTTAAAACGTCAAATTTTCAAACAAAATCAAATTTTTTCAAATATTACTAAAATCTTCAAATGTGTGCAAATTTCATTAATACTCCTTTTAATAATATTCCTCTTGATAAATGCCATCCTTACCATCTCCAATCTGAACCATTCGCCTTCCAATATTTATCAAAGGTGGATGCTCTGAAATTTATACAGCAGCATATCTATTATAATATTTTATTTAATTATCAATGAAATAGTACACCTAATAGATTTTATGAAAAAAAATTAACTCAACAATACGAGTTAGAAAAGATTAAGTTGGAAATAGAAAAATTACGTGCTGAAAATGAAAAAGTTAAATTAGCAGCTACCAAATCCCAATAAAAATTTTCCCATTCCAAAAAAAACTCCGATATGTGATCAATTTTCTAAAAAATTTAGTATTACATATAATTCATTTACAGATGAGCCAAGACATATAATTCATTTACAGATGAGCCAAGTGAAAATTCATATTACAAAATTTAGGACAAGGAAGAAAATGTGTTGAATCTAAAGGAGGATCAACAAAAGATGGATAATAATGAAGATATTAAAGCGGAATTAACAAAAATCACTAATAAAGAAATGCGGTACAGTAAAACATATTATAATGATTGAGAAGTTACAGTTTATTATATATATATGTGTTATATATATTTATTTATAAGGTCGTTCCTTATCGGTCGGGATAAGGAACGGGTGGGCTTCGTAGGGTATAAGTGGGGGTTCGTTCTTGGATAAGGATGGGCAAAGAGTTTCAATTAGTGTTATTATTCTTTTGAATGTATAGGACTTTTTTATTGTTTACTCTCCCTGCTTTTACATAAAATAAATATATATTTATTTATATACATCCTTTATATCATTATATCATTATAACTTAATATTGAAGATACTTGTTCATTAATCATATTTTTTATTCATATTGTAAAAATATACTGATACTTAAAATATCATATTTGTTATAGTATATTTAAGTTAATAAATTGTATTAATCAAAAATTTACTTTAAAATTATTAAAGGTATATAATATTTTTAAACTAAAAATTTTATTGAATCATAGGACCATAGGCATTTGTTTTTGCAAATAAACAATCTTGAATTTTAAAAGTTGAATTATTAATGAAAATTAAATAGCAATTACAGTCAAAGCTTGTTATAGTAAACCCTTAGTTCCAATCACTATAACAAATATTCACAAAAATGAAAGATTTCTTTATAGTAGTAAACCTTATATTAATACAATAAAAAGTTTCTTTACTATGGTAAATAGGGGAGCCAGTAGTTCCTTTTAGTTTGTATTATTTGTATCAATGATTTTTGTACTTACTTTAATAAATTGACTTACAATTTACAAATTACAATCTTAGCACAAAAAAAACAATAAAAAGTTTCTTTTAATAAAAGTATTTAATTTGATTTTAAAGCATTAAGAATTTCCAATTCTATGTATATTTAGACCAATGAATTCTTTATAATTTTTTTATCTGATAATAGTTCTATTGGCATTTTATAATATAATCTTGTAAATAAGTAAATTTGATTTTTTATACAAATAATATTAATAATAAAATGAAATACTAATCCTAATTTTTGTGTTTAAAGTGATTTGTAAACAATATACTAATAGAAAAAAAGAAAATTTAATTAAATTTAAAAATTCAAAATCAAGTTTATTATTATTTTGTTATCTAATAGTTCAATTTGATTTAAAAAAAAGTTTATTTAAATCTGATTACTAAATTTTAGAATAATTACAAAACTAAAATAATAAAAAATATTAATTTTAATATAATTAATTATAAGTTGTATATTAAATATTTGAAGTTCTAATATGAGTATAGTATAATATTTATTAAGAAAATCGTGTTAGTATTAATTTTATTTACTAATTTTTGAGTATAATTTTATTATTTTAGTCAAATAAAATTAATTTTCTTTATTAATTAAAAGTTATTTAGTAAAAACAAATTACTTATATATTAATTTTTATGAATTTATATAAATATAATACTTATGGGAAAAATTATATTTTTCATAATAGCATTAACTTTTAAATTTTATTATTATTATTATTATTATACTCAAAGGGAGCAGCATTCCTTATTTAAAGGAAAAGTTACAAGAACCAAATCCTATTCAAATAGATATAGATTATACCCTACCCGCCTGCAGATATCATGAGTCAGACGCCACACCGCTGAAACTAAATTGTAAATATAAACCTAGTATACCAAAATTTGAATTGATTAAAATTAAACATTATAACCAATCTAACTAATCTGAGGAATAAAATAAAAATAGGTAAATAAATCTACAGGTCCCAATCTCTAAATAAAGATCAAAATTCACAATTTAACCCATCTAACGATTTTGATGAGCGAATAATCCTGCTTGATCCATCATCTTTCGGAGGGACCTGGCGAAACGTTCAGCTGGCTTGATTAGAGTACCTCCTCTTGAGTCGACAATGTTACGTCGTACGTTTCAAGTTCATCACTGACCGTGGTTTACGCCGGACAGAGTTGTTATGTTTGTTGTTACTGACCGATCTTTTCATTGAGGTTCATTGAGGTGGAGATACCGTTTGTACTTTCCCACTGAACGGTCAAACGACATCTGGGAGTCCACCATTCTATGAAAATCTGGGTAACCATGATAGTTAGCAATTTGGTACAAAATGTAATACATTTATTCCTGGTGAAATTAAACAGTTTTGACGCTTTATTCGTCATGGATGCGTCGATTTTTCCTTTTATTGCATCCTGAAAGATCGATGAAAACTCCTCTGAAGTCCAGAAATTCCAATTAATCTTTTGAGCAAATTGTCCGCTTGCTGTTGATTTAAAATCTAAGTCTCTTTGTAGTATGGTAAGCAGGGACGAGTGAAAATTGCCGCTTTGGCTTCTATTGCTCTGTGTCCTGTACATGGACCAATATGTGCTACCGTTTCATATTCTATATTACACATTGGGCAAATGAAATTTTTGTACAGCGTTGGATTACGTAATTGGAGCATTTTTCCTATCGGTAATAGGTTGTTCAGCAATTTAATCCAAAACGCCCAGAATTTGTTGCGAATAGAATTTGTGCATTTGACATGTTTGACTTAATTTTTTATACGGTCTATTAAGGCATCTTGATTACAGCTTAATTGGCCCCATTGCGCGTCATTAAAAAATTGCATCATGTTCTTAATATTATCGATCGTTGGTAAAAGTTTTATATCATCGTGGGCTAGGTTGAATTGAGTCGAAGACTAGTACTAGCGAGCTTGGCTAATTCATCTACTTTCTCGTTCCATATATACCCACTGTGTCCTTTTACTTTATGAAGCTCTAAATCTCTCTAACTACTTTAAAAATTCTATATAATAATAAAAAGTTATTTCTAACTAAAAAATTTCTCGGTCTGGTACCTAATATTCCATTAATTGTTTGTATCGCTCCCGCGCTGTCTGTTTATACTGTATGTGCACTTTCGATCCATTTGAACAAGTAAGTAACGCCAGTAAAATTGCATATATTTTCGCCCTGGTCGAAGATGGCCAATTGTCAATGCGCGACACAAAATGTTCTTCTGTTGTAATTTCAATAAAATGCTGCTCCTTGCGCTACCTCATAAGTATTTGGTTCCATTTGATTTTCGATCTAGCATTGCCGTCTATGATACTACCATGGGAGCGTTTTTTAAGATTACCATCGGTATAAAATTTTAGTTGATTTAGTGTTAACAAACGTCCATTAAAGTCTTAGTTAAATCCGAAGAGCCGAACCTTATACCTATTAACCGATCTTGGTCAATTAATACTATAGCCGGCGTGGAGGCGATACCCGATTCACTGTACTCTATTGATTCACTGATTGATGTCGGAGACGAATCGTCATTGGTGAGAACTGGGCTTCCATCTGCGTATTGATTGTTGGTTGACACACAAAGGCAATTTGTTGTAATTAAGTTTAACGGAGTATTTGTCGCAAAGTTGCCATCTTTGTGCGTCACATTAAGTGTTCTTGCCGATTTTCTAGGAATGTCAAGTGTTAAACTGCGAGCTGGCTTTTCAAGTTGGTATAAATTACCCAAATGTGAATCAAAACTAGCTATGTTCCAGATTTCTACGGATAACATATCCTTCTTGTGTGATTTCATGGTAATCTTGGCTACTTGGTATTCTTTTCTTCTTTTGAATACAATCCATTATTTGTTTCGCCTGTCGTTGGATGGGATCGGTAGATAATCGTTAAAGAAGGCCGGAAGATTATACCTTAAACCGTCCTTAAGTAATCTCGAGATGTCATTTTGCGAGAACAACCATTCTAGGTGCTTGAACCATATGGCTTTTTTCCCTTTGACTGACAGTCCGGAGAGGAATCCCGATTGAACCCATGTTATCATATGTCGTCCATCATGCGTTACAAGTTAGTGGGCAAAGAATAGGGCGCCGGTTTCGGTTCATTCATCTTTAATAACGATGACGGGGTGAAATAGTTAATCCATTCATCGAGTATGGTTCTATTGACCTTCTATCCTGAACGAGTCCTTCACACGATTTGTATTAAGTTGTAGACCTAGGTCATAGGTGAGCAATAAACAATATACTGCGAAATTTTTCTAACCCAATATTTCCTTCGTGAAATAAGATTGAGTTAGACTGGACTTTGCTATTTCTATCGTATGCTTAACGAATGATAATATGGTTTTTCTATCTGATCCCATTCTCCTTTTGACAATATCAGTGTCTGACTGAGATATGCTATCTTGGGGTAAAGGACTTTATTAATTAAATAAACTACATGAGCAATCGATAGCAATTTCTTCACTTTTCTTCCCTACTGTTTGTAAGAAGATATCTCGGATTCCTACAATCCTTTGTTTGTTTAATAATCTGGCCCTTTTGCTGCCAAGAAGACCCCTAGATAACGAACTTCCTCGCTTGTGACCCTGATGATACCATTGTGTGAATCTCCCAAGTAAACTTTATTCGCCGTTATGGGTAATGGTGAGTTGAAAACTAACAAGTCACATTTTTTGATATTGATAAATATATCCATCATGCTATAAAATGAGTTCGCTATGTTCAGAACTACTTGCATACGTTCTTTGGAGGTTTCAATGAACGCTGTGTCATCCATATAAGCTGCTACTGCCACTGAATTATTGTATTTAACCCACGTATTCGGGTTGGCAGGATCGGTGGGCATTCACAGCTGATTTCATAACCATATAGTTTCTGTTTTGTTGTATCTCTCGTTGTGGTCGCTTTGAGCAGAGGATCATAGTAGATTCGCCATATCAAAGGGGATAGACTATCGCCTTGATCTACCCCATCCCCTGCTGTGAAAGAAGGTGTAGTTCCAAAGGCTGTAAGTATCTGGGCTTTTCTGTTAGTAAAGAGCCTAATAATTAAGGTGATCAATCGATCTGGAAGGTTCAGGCGTTGACGCGTTGTAGCGCTAAATTCAGTCCTGTCATGCTGATGGAGTCAAGGTTTTGGATATATCTTTAAACATAAACCATAATTGTTTTTTGTTGGTTTTTGCGTCTTCAATTAATTATTAATTATCTGTATTGGAGTGGTTGTGGAATCTCCGGGTAGTCCACAATAATTTTGCTGACACAGTATGGTGTTGTGTTCCGTCAGTATTTTCCTAAACGCATACTTATTGTTTTGGTTAATAACTTTCTAAAATTGTCCAAAAGCGCGATGGTCTAACGTTTGCCATGTTGCGTTATCAGTATAAGATTTAGGGCGCATCAAATTAAATTCTGTAATCCTGGAGGTAATTTTTTAATCATAATATAATTAACTCCTGTGACTCCTGCTGCTGATTTTTCGTTTACACTTTTCAAGATTGTATCCCATTCCTCATCATCAATTTCTGTGAGTACTTCATCAAAAACCTGTTCATTCCGAGTCACTGGTTCATATATCTTTTGCCAAAAGGTGGCATATCATGGATTGATGAGAAACTGACCCTCTTTTTTCTGAACTGATGTGAATATGAGGCTATTGCTTGTTCCGATATATATTAACAACTCGAGGGGTGCACTTTTAGCAGTCGGTCAATAGGAATTGATTTGCGATCCATTTGGATTAATCGCTCTCAATTTGTTGGATCCTCTTTTCTATTGCTTCTGATATTTCAGTACGTTGCTTGGCTAGCATTTTAGCTCGTTCATGCTTTTGACGGGCCTTAAGTACCGCTTTTACCAAGTGGTTGTTAATGGTACAAGATTTGGGTTTAGATAGGTTTCGTCCACTTCCGGATAGTCTGTATTATATTTTGTGGCTATGGAAAACCAATCGCTGAGCTCATGGCTTAAGTCATGTGCATTATTATTATCTTGGCGTGGGTTGGCCGCCTCATTCAGCATGAGATTCAACCACCTTGCTAAGTTTCGCGTGTGTTTTTCGGGTTGAAATAATTTGTTGTTAATTACTTTCCTTTTCTTTGATCTTCTTTCTTGTGTGGGAGAGTAGCGCGTGCTGTGTCCACTAGCGTCTCGGTAATATAATTCCATGTAATTTCTATATTGTCTTGAATAGTCTTAATATCGTTACTTTCTTTTGCATTAGCAATATCCTAATTGTATCGTGAAAAAAGTTTCAACAAAGGACTTTACCGTCTAATAATTTTTTTTTTTCTTTTTTTTTTTTCCTGATTATTACCAAAGTATCATATAAAAAAGGAATTTTTTTTTAATATTTTGGGTAGAGAAAAAAAAAGGAAAATTTAGATCTCGCCCTCATACTGATGTAATGTTTAAATCTCGCCTTTATTCCAAAAAAGGATATTTTGTACGCTGATCGTTTAATTCTGGCTAGAATTAAATACGTCACGTGATTTAATGAAAGTGAACTTGCAGAGAGGATTGAATATTTTTTTTTAAAAAATTTATTTTAAGGATAATCAACCCTTTATATAAATATATGGGTTTTATATATAGCAAAATCTATAACAATTATTTATTAATATTATGTAATGTCAAAATCAACAGTTAATTGCAAAAAAAATTAATATTTTATTAACTAATTACATAATAAATTTTATTAAATTTATATTTAAAAAGAAAAGTAGATAACTACTCCAATAATTTTAAAAAAATTTTAATTACTTATTAATATTTTTAAAATATATATAAATAAATTTAAAGAAAATAAATAATTTTATTCAAATATTACAATGATTTTTATTTTAATTCTCAATAAAGTTTTTAATAAATTTATTACTATATATAAATAATATAAATGTACTATTTATTTGCGAAGTATCAGAAAGTTTTAATTAATTTAAAAATAAAATATTTATAACTTTTAACTTGCTTTTTTGATTTAATTTTATAAATAAAATTATATTATTTGATAAAGTTTAATTCTAAGAATTAAAAGTAAAGTTTTGTTTAAGTTTTATAGATCAGAAAATTTTTTTACTTATAACAAATTTGGATTTAACAATTTTTACTATGATTTCATTAAACAATTTTTTTTTTTATATACTATTAATTTTAAAAAGTATAATTATTTTGGAAAAACCTTTTTACTATACAAATATAAATAAACCATTCCAAATTAATAATTAGTTTAATGTCTTTTCTAGCTGAAAAATTTAAGGAAAAAAAGGAATAATTTAAACAAATATAATATTTAAATATATTAAAATTTTCAGAAAATCAGAAATATTTGGTTTTATTTAATAATTTTTAAAAAAAGAAGAGGTGCTTTAAACATATGTGAATATATGTATTTAAATTACCTTTAAATTTTCAAAAATAAGGGGAGAATATTAAATTAAAATTGCCTAATTCTATATAGTTACTGTATATCAGATATTTAAATAATATATTTTAGACATAAAATTAGATTCACATAAAATCTAAAAATAGTATATGTACAGTTTATGTAGATTTTTTTACACAAATCTACATAAAAAACATGCAAATGCTTTTTTATAAGATAAATTGTTTTTTGATTAACAAAGTCAATAAAAATTACATTAAATAGTAGTAACTTTAGTAATTTTTTTTTACACAAGACAAACAACTGAACTTTCTACCATAACGTACTTACATACATGTGGATGTCACAAATTCCTTTTTTTAAATTTTTAATTTATATGTATTTGTTTATCGAAACCTTGATTTTTTTGCATCATGCTAGTGTTTCGGGCGAAACTGAAACTAAATTCTTGATGAAACTTCCAAAACCTGAAACTGTTTTTTTCGTTTATGATATTGTTTCATTTGATGCATTAATAATTCTTTACGTTCAGCTTTTTTTTCCCAATGTGCTCCTGAAATATTTTATTTGATATAAATAATTTTACAATGAATATGATTTACACGTTAAATAATTCATATTACGTAATAATTTGTTTTAAAAATTTTTATCTATTACTACAATCATTGGAAAATACGTAATTCGAAATAATATAATTATGTAATTCACTATTAAATACTAAATTATTAATAAACAAATTATAATTTTAATTACTTTATAATAAAAAAAACCTATTGTAAACTTTGTTTAGCATCATGAAATCCACCTGTAACCTGTAATAACAATCTAAGACCAAAGCCAGTAACTTGTATGGATGCAGTATAATCAGGGTATACAAGTGACCCATCCAATGTTTTGATAATAGAAAAGTATTTCATTTTATTTTATGGAATCTTAATTATGTAATTTAAATTACACGAAAAAAAAAAATCGCAGTAGAATAAAGAATTATGTCTATAAATGATTATGTTTCAGAAAATATTATACCAATAGAAAAAAGCTAATCTTTCTCCGCGACACAAATGGGCGGGCACATATATTTTACCATTGTCTTTACGGTCGCATATATTTTTTAACATTGTTCTTTATCAAAGTTTTATCAACTATTAAACAAAACTTAATTTAACTCGTGTCAAATTAGGGATCACAGAAATATACGTTCGGTTTATTTGTTTTTCCTGATACATTATAAATAGACCGTGATCAAGCTTCATTAAAAAATCAACAAGAAAAAAAAATAAAAAATAATTCTTTTCCAAATTAAAAATTATTTAAAAATGAATCTCAAACAACATTTACACACTAATTTCACTTTTTCTAAATAAAAATTATCGTACTACCATATATCGATGAATTATTGAGCGTTGCTTGATAATTTCTAAACCGGGGTGCGATGATATTTTAATATCCCCTCATCGCACCTTGTAAAAAAACTATTTGGTTTACTACATTTCCCAAAATTATTCTATTTCCACAAAAATTATTTTATTATCTCATTTGAGATGTTATTCAGTTCACAAAATAAAAATTTATTTTTCACATTTTTCCCACATAATTACACGATTCTAAACCTAAATTATTTAACCCTAAAAAAAATTGTCAGAAAATGATCACGTGTCTGAGTTTCTTTGGAATTTAAAACTAGAATACCAATTTTTAAATTGATCGTATTCGTAGTTAATCGGTTAATCGAATTCTTAAATATAAAATGTAGTTAGAATTATTTGTTACTATCATATCATATTTTTCTTTGTTTTAAAATATTCTTTGTCCAACAATGCCATCGCAAAATCTTTGTGTAATGTATTTCAGAGTCAACCCTGTCATATTATTAGTTCATTTGTCGTTGTACGATCTGCATCATTTGTCACAAAAAACACAAAAAACTGAATTCAGGAACAATGTGAAAAATTTAATTGATTAAGGAACATAATTATTTATCTTATTTTATTGTTTGTTCATTTTCGTTTCATTTTTTTATTTGTGTAAAACCTTGGATAATTAGTTATTACTAAAGGCATAAAAATTATTAAGTTTAATTTGATAGCGATAAGAAATTTTTTATCTATTTTTAGTAAATATTTAAGGTCTATTGTTCCATTATTCTTTATTGGTTCATCCCGTGAATATTCTATTTCGACTCAGAATCAACTCAAAAGAATCAACTCAGAAGAATCAACTCAGAAGAATCAACTCAGAAGAATCAACTCAGAAGAATCAACTCAGGAAAATCAACTCAGAAGAATCAACTCAGAGAAGAATCAACTCAGAAGAATCAATTCAGGAAAATCAACTCAGAAGAATCAACTCAGGAAAATCAACTCAGGAAAATCAACTCAGAAGAATCAACTCAGAAGAATCAACTCAGAAGAATCAACTCAGGAGAATCAACTCAGGTTTTTTGCCGTCTGAATGACCGATAGGTTGAAAATACGGGCCGCGTCGCTTATTACACAGCATCCACATTTTCCGTTATCATTATAGTCATTATGGCATTTGTTCTCAACCAATAGTTTATTTATTGATTTATGGCTGAAAATGGTTTAATTAGGGATCTAGGTTTCTCAATTGTTTATTCTTTTATCTTTAATCTATATTGTAATATAAAGAGATTGTGATGTAAATAAAATTGTAGAGAAAAATTGTTTCACAACCTTGTTAGAGGCTTTTCTGCTTCTGAGAAAATAAAAAACTGATGTCAATGCGTGAATATCAAGAAATAAAAAAGGCTGAAAATTCTAAATTATTGCAAAAACCATGAACCCAGATATTTTTCACGGGATGTTGATCATTTTGGCTAACGTTCCGGATAATAAATTTAACACCATTTATATAGTAGTGGCGCAACAATTACGATATTCAGATAACGGCTCTATCCTGTTCTATCCGGATCGAAATACTATAATATGGACTCTATTTTTTATTAAAATTGGTGCATAATTACTAATTTATGATCTAAATCTTGAATTTTTTTATTAAATATTATTTCTTACGTTAAGTATTATACTTCGTTTTTTTGTCATCTTTTTATTCACGACTTGTTATTACATCATTTACATGTGTTACTTTAGATTCCACGTGAACAAAGCCATGGTACAAATTACAAATTCAGTAAATCACCATACGTAAAAATATCTTGCAAATAAATAGAGGTCTCGTGTTCACCGCGTTCATTTTAACACACACAGACTTTTCCAGTGTGTATTCTTGAGAAAAAAAAATCGGAGAGGAAAGAGGAAAGATAGAAAACAGAAAATTAAAAAAAGATCTAATGTAGGCGGGCGGAACGCGCGCCTACAAATCTTTAAGTTCGTTCTAAATGCTTTTCTTATTCAATTAAGAAAATGTCGTCCTTCAAGGTAATTTATGATAAAAAATTATTTACTATCAATGACTTCTTTTTCTTCGAAATGTCGTCTTTCATGGTAATTTGATAAAAAATTATTTACTAAAATGACTTCTTTTTTTTATTAGAATATACAGCCTAAGTGAGGACATAAATATCGGTATAACGAAATTTCCTAAAAATTTCATATATGTCCATATATGGAGGTTTGACTGTATTCAAGAGTTCTTAAGTTAATACTTTTCTTATTCAATTAAGAAAATGTAGGTAATTTATGATAAAAAATTGTTTACTATCGATGACTTCTTTTTCTTTTGAAATGTCGTCTTTCATGGTAATTTGATAAAAAATATACTAAAAGATCAATGACTTCTTTTCTTTTGTTAAAATACTCAAGAGTTCTTAAATAAAGATAAAGATGAAGAAAATCAGTGAAGAAAGAAAACAGAAAATTAAAAAAGATCTAATGTAGGCGGGCGGAACGCGCCTACAAATCTTATGGTCTACTTCAGATATAAATTTTCAGCTCGATCTATTATGTTCGAGGTTGCCGCGAAAATATAGTGCCTTTAAGATGCATGCTCATGATGATAAATGATTTTTTTAGGTAATTTTACTTGTATTTTTTATATTAAACTCTTTTTTTTGGAATAAATTTATCATTAGATCACGTTTATTAATATATACTTATTGTATAGTAATCCGAAGGTCTTAAATTGAGAAAGATCTTTTGGAAAGAAAATGTATATAATCATTATAAATATTTTGTATCTCTCATTAGAGGTACAAATAATAACCTTAAAGAAGTTGTACTCTTCCTTCCCGTGAATCGAATAAGCAACATTACTGATACAAATGGAATATTAAATGCTCTTGCAGTATTGCCTAAAGACCTATGCAATAGGTATTTTATTATATAGACTCTCACGATCACACTATTAAATCAGTCACGAGTTAATTTATAGAAGCACCGGAACCCGTCCAATCTCCGAAGTTAAGCCACTGATGGCACAATCAGTACTACAACGCGGGACACTTGATAAATTTTACTACAAAAAAAGGTTGCAGCATTAAACCTGGATACGACAAAATTTGGCGTGGCGTATTATGTAGTACGATAATAAAGATTTTACAACTAGATAAAGTTCGGATGTAATGAAAGTACGGCTCGTATGCCTATTCTGACCAATAAATTGAATTTGATTGTCCTTTAGCCAAGTGTAATTTTTATTTTGAACCGAAAATGAATAAAAAGTGATATAAATAATAAATAATAAATCATAATAAATCATTAAGATTCTAAAAAAAGAAGGGAGACCAAGAAAAGCGTTTATTTCCAAAGTTAACGTAATAACAAAAAAAATTATTAAAATTATTATATATTTAAATCATATCAACATTTATCGTTATCATTCCCGTCAAAATATTCATTTTCATTCCACATTAAAGATTTTCTACAGCATCTCTAAATTCCTCATTAATTCCATCAAATAATGTACTTTTAAATTCGCCGGAAGTTAACACTTGGAACCCATCTAAAAATCTCAACAATTCATGAACTTGTTGAGAAATTTTTTTAATTCCTTTCATTATCTATCTTTCTTACAAGTGGCCATGGTGATTTCAAAAATTGAAGAAATCCACTTTTTCACATTTTTATTTTTATCAATCATTTATGATTAAATTTTTAAATTTAAGGATTGGCATTAATTAAATACACTTTCGCATAATAGCCAAAATTCTTGTGTAAGCATTGTAAAAGGTACTACTTTTGTTCTGAAAATTGGTTCTTCAGATAACATTTGCCAAATTTTTGAAACAGCTTTTGGATGTAATGAAAAAATCTGGACCAAAAAAATTATAATAATGAAATTCAATATCAAGTAATAATAGCCAGTTTCATAAGTCCACCATCTTGCTACATTAGGAATTCTATAACCGCCACCTCCAAGAACTAACAAGGGAATCTGTCAACTTTTATAAATCTTACGCACTCTCCATGAGCTTTAAATACTTATATTAAAACCTCCTAATCTATCTTTTCCGAGAGAATCTGCTCCACATTGCAATACAATAACGCTTGGTTGATAATGATCTCTTACATCTACATAACATCCTTGAATAATGAAACATAGCTATTATCATCAATTCCATCTTTGAGAGGTACACTTAGACTAAATGCTAACGCGAATAAATCATCAATAAAAATGCACGTGACCGTAGAACTGACTGCTGTTAGTGGTTTTCACGTTTTGACTAAATGAAAAGCAAAATTATTTGTTAAATCAGTAATTAAATAAATTCAGACAATAATTTCAAAATCTTACATTTTCTAATGGTACTTTATGACGCATATAATTGAATTAACACAGTCATACATAGTATGCCATCTGGTATCTATCCACTTTTTCAATAACCTTCACAGGCTTTAGTTTCTTTTAATGCAGAACCTTATAAAACAATTGTAATATCAATAAATAAATAAATAATAAAATTTAATATTAAATTACCTCCTTGATGGACTTTTTTAAAATATGTCCCCGTAGTATTAAACTTTGTTAAAATCCGATTTGCGGATGAAGTAGAGCAAATAACTTTTGAAATCAAATTAATAGCATGTACCAATTGTACCATACAACGTACATTAAAGAATATTTGTAGAATACTTGCTCCTGATTCTTGAATCTGTTACAATTACTGAAAAATTTGCTGGACCCAATTTCATCAATTATTTCTTCAATTGTTTCGGATAAAAATTCGCCAGTATGACTTTTACTTAATAGACCCCTTAAGCGCCATAAATATTCTCTATATTAAAAAAATTCCAATTGATTAAGAATAAAATTAAATTAAAATCGCTAAACATTAATGTTGGGAATAACATACACTATATTAAATTTGCTGTATTTTTCAATTCTTTAATAACTCATGTGTTTACAACTTCAGTTTCTTATGATATAAGTTTGCCAGAAAGTAATTCTTTTGATGGTGGCGTATCCTGGGCGTAGAGTCTTCAAAAATTCAATAAAAAAGGATTTCCAATTACATGCCATGGAATGTCACATACAACAAATGCTCACGATCAATTTCATGAGTTCTATTCTAAGAGAGTTAATACTTACATTAATGATGAAAATCTCCTATTTTTTTGTTTGAATTGAACCATCATTAAGTTTTCGCTTTTTAGATGAAAAATTGTTTATATCATATTTTGTAATATTTTGATAATCAAAATATATTTCCTTCAGCTTTTGCAGCAAGATTATCTTGTATCAGCTGATACTTTAGAATAATCATTAGTCAAAATGTTTTTCCAACCCTTTTGAAAAACCCTTTTTCCAGAATAGACCACAGTATACACAGGTTGCTTCATAGTGACCTTCTGATACTTTTCTACCTTATATAGCATGGTCTCTCATACCAAAGACTTAAAGCGATCACCAAAACCTTTTCCTTTTTTTTTTGTTGGAATTATAAGATGCATTTGGGGAAGAGTTAGAAAAGGTAAATTTTTTGATCTTCTTTTATGGCCATTCATGTTAAAACTTTGTGTGTTTAGTTTGTGTGATACTAAGTAATTTACATAAAACATAATATACTTTAACTCATCCTGACCGTGCAATGACCTTTTCACATAATGGGTTAGTAAAGTGAACTACGATACTGCATAACAGCCTATAGCTTATACAAAATGATAATTGATAATTGATTGTTTATAAAGTCAGACGAAGGGGGAAATGGTTATTTATGATTAAACATGAATATTGCATTTTGCGAAATATCGAGAGAAAAATTTAAGAACATTACTAAATTTAGTCACCAATTAAAAAGAATTCACGTGACATTTAGATTTACCAAGTTTCGGAAGTTTCGGAAATTTCTCCAGTTTCGGAATGAAACGAAGATCAAAATAGAAGTATATTACTAGTGTAACATATTTACTTAATACTTGTACAGAATCAAAAAAAAAAGTGGACAACTATGCAACTATGTGAAATTGAAGGTTATCTTTGCGCTAGGAATTCATTCATATCGTCAGGTAAATAGGACAAAATCATGATGTTACCAAGGGACGACAGTATCACATGACTAGAAAATATGAAAATCCACATGACCCTAGAGGCATGAAACTTTTGTAACACTGAAAACCATGACTTTTTTGTGTCTGATCTTAAAAATTTGCCGTATGTAACTCGGGTGTACCGAAACCTTAATCCTTTTAATCCTTTTTCTGTAACAATATGTAATGCAATTTTAAATAATAATATGACCGCAGTCAAAGTCTATAATACTTGTCACACGAGTTCTGTATAAAACTAATTCTAAAAGCAAATATAATACACATGAAACATTTTTACGTCACAAAAAAAGTTCTCGAATATTACACATTAGACAATTGAAAATTTAAAAGTTTCATTTCTTTAAAAGGGATTAAAGAAAATGAAAAAGTTATTCAATGTACAAGTTTCAAACTAAAACATTTTGATCATCTTTTATCAAATTAAAAAATGCTATGCTAAATGAATATCATTTGATATGTAATTGTGTACTTTCTAAATAGGGTTAGTTTGAAAATTTAAGATATATGATCTATTTACATAGTCGGAATCTTTGATTTATGATAAAATTTTAACAATTGAGCTTTGATTTCCCAAACCAAGTTTATTGATTTTGATACAACTACAACTTAACGGCCGACTCGGATAAATATATCATTGTATTAGTCAAACCCGAAGCCTCTATTATAAAAAATTTGTATTGGGCACCAGACATCAAAATTATATATAATATGGTTGGTTTTTGACATTTATAATTTTTTTTCATTCTATTCAATCGTTTATACATACTATTTCATTCATACATAATAAACATTCATACTATTTATTCTTCTCTTCATCATAACTATGGTTCAACTTTATGCAGATGTTATTTTATTGATTATGCTTGAATTACAAGATGATCTTTCATCTTTACATTCTTGCGTTCTTGTGAGTAGATCTTGGTCTCGGATAGCCGTACCTTTCCTATGGAAATATTTCTCTTGTATCAATGGATTTACCTATAATCGTGACAGGGAATCACGTATAAAATTATACAAAGTAATAGCCAATTTTTTGCCGATTGAATCAGAAAACCTTTTGATCAAAAGTAATATTATATTGCCTTCATATAAATTACCAAGAAAACCAACATTTGAATATATGAATTATTTTACTCAAATCACGCCATGTTGGATTAAAGATATGGTGCAACTTTTTATTGAAGAAGATTCTATTTATAAAAAAAATTTATTAGAAGTCCAAATTTACAATTTAATTTTTAAAAATTGTAAAAATATAAACCATTTTTATTTGAATACTGATATAAAATTCTATAATTTTCCAAGTGTGGGATCATTTTTTTTAAATCTACAATCTCTTGGAATTAGTTTTGAAAATAATATAGTAACTTCAAAAACATTACTCGAACTTTCCACTATTTGCCAAAATATAAAAATTTTAGAGATAAATTATTGTAATGAGGATTCTAAAGGTTTAGCTTCATTTATTGAAATGCAACATGATCTGCGGTACTTATTTTTACATTTTATTAATAATAATAATAATAAAAACAAATATCCATTATTAAGCAATGTAATCAAGGAAAAAGGCTGCCATATTAAAAATATTTTTGGTAACACTACTTATCGATCCTGGTTCATTTTTAAGTTTAATAAATCCACAACATTATGAGAATGTAGACTGGAATTTTTCTTTTAATAATATATTAATTTTCTTAAAAGTATAAAATTATTTTTAATATTATAGAATTATTTTTTATTTTTTTTTTTATTTTTATAAATAAAGTTAAATTTTTCATATTAACAGTTAATAATATAAAAATGATAAGCATAACAATGTTCATAAATTAATTAAATATTGGATGAGGGAAAAAATTTAATTGAAATCTGAGGTTAAATTATTTTATCGTTATAGTCTGGAATTTTTTTTTTTAATATTTTATATGTGGGCAGCAGCAGCAGTTGCAAGTATTGAAGAACAGAATATTTTTTAAACATGACATTACAGAAAGCAAACAAATTGATTTCAGATCTAACTTTTTATTTAAAATTTTGAGTTAAAAAATTGTCATATAAGCATTTTTCTGATGCACAGTTACACACCCATGCTGTATACTATACATCATACACATGTTATAAATAAATCCTAATATTACAATATAATAACAGATAATATAAAGTAACATTTAAAATAATGAAGAAATTGTTAATTCCCTTGTGATTTACTACGGCTCCACCACTGTTTCCCGCACTTCCCTATAGGCAAAGCAATAACTGACCACCCTCTAATTCCTTTAAACGCTGCTGTTGCACATATGTCAGGATATTTTTTGGAACAAATGTATTCATAAAATCCTGGAGCAAGTGGGAATTCCCAACGTTGGGCATCACCATCATTTTCATCATAAGATTCAATAGTGAGTTTTTTGCCATTACCATTGCATTGGACGTATTTGCCAATAATACCATTGAGTAAGATGCGGCTGTCTTCAGTAATTATCCAGTTATCGCCTTGTTTGTTTAAAACAACATCAGTTTCATTTACTTCCCAAAAAAGATCATTATGGCCACTGATGAAAGATAATTGAATTTTCGTTAGTATTTGACTTAAAGCAACAGCAGTAATTGTGGTTAAAAGGAACAAAAGTAAGTTAAATTCCATTTTTGATTTTCTGTTGATTTTACTTTTTTTTTTTTTTGTGAAGTTAATTTTCAAATAGCGTAGAGTCGAGGCGTACGGTTATATAGTTGAAACAGAGTTTTCTGAAAGAAGTGAGCCGATGGATAATTGATTATCCGGATGATCATTTTTAAACATATGTTCAGTTACTCAAAAAGAATTCTCTCATCTAAAAGAATTGTTGATGCAGACGAAGCTTTGAATGGATGATCTGATGTTTTTGCGATATCTGTCATTTTTTTCTTTTTAATAAAATTCTCAATAAATCCATTTTTTTTCTTATAAATAGAATTCATTTTTTTCTTTTTAATAAAATCTTTGCTAAAATGGCATTTTTTTAAATATACAGTACATTTTAATATTTTTGTAATACTTTAGTAATATTTTTAATAATAATATGAATGCCCAATAGGATAATACTTACAAATAATTAAATATACAAAAAAATTATAAAACATATTAAAAATAAAGAGTATTTAAAAAATTTTATATTAAAAAAAAACGTGTATTTAAATGGGATTTGGAATGGGATTGGAAATGGAAATGAGAATGGGATTTGGGATGGATGGATTTGGAATGGGATGGAATTTGGAAATGGAATTTGGATGGATTTGAGATGTAAGATGGGATTTGAAATGGGATTTGGGATGGGGACTCCCATCCCATTTATTTGAATGGCAAGTATATATAGCACAGAATTTTGGTGATGAGACCCGTGTGGACAACAAAGTAGCAGAAGAAATGGGAATATATTTTAATTATGATCGAATGTCACAATTGATATAAAGTACAATGATGTAATCTCATTAGTTTTACGAATAAAAAATATTTATTTTTTTTTCTGAACGACGGGTAGTAAACCAGTTTAATTTATAAGCACATCTTTAATGAATACAATGCCTATTGCTAATTCGACAAACTGTTGATTTCTAATATTATAAGCAACCATTCCTAATCATAAGAAATGAAATACCAACAAGAAGCCAAATGTAAAATAACCACCTTACAAAGTGACTTTCTTCCTTTTAAAAATTTCCAAGGATTTTTCCATGAATTTCTAATCGTAAGAAATGGAATACAAGAATTTTATCAAATTTTGATTTCAAGAAGCCAAACCACCTTACAGAGTGACTTTCTTTCTTTCAAAAATTTCCAAGGATTTCTCCATGGATTACTAATCGTAAGAAATGGAATACAAGAATTTTATCAAATTTTGATTTCAAGAAGCCAAATGTAAAATAACTATCTTACAAAGTGACTTTCTTCCTTTCAAAAATTTCCAGGGATTTTTCCATGGAAAAAGCGTTAACCTCCTAAGAATAATTGATTGTCTATATAAAAATCTGCAGTTCCGCTGACGTAACTTATGATGTCCTAAATATCAAAAATTCATTTGATCAAATAAATTAGATGATTTCTTTATTTCTATATGATATATCTTATTTAAGTAACAATAAATTTAAGTGGAGCGAGCGGTCGAGTCGATTCTCTCCGTCTTTTTAGCGTACGAATTATCTTGTAAAAGTTTAAGCTATAATTAATGAAAGATTAGCTGACATTTCAGGAATTTATTCTGTACAAGAAGTTAACAAAAAACAGCAAAAATTATATTAATTTATAAATATTACAAAGAATAGGACAAGTAAGTAAATAATCGACTGCTTACGATGAAAGAGCAGCCAAATAAAAATGAAAAAATTAAATATTTTTTTTTCCTTTTCCAATTTTTTTTACCGAAAGCACTATATGATATAAACACCTTTGAAAAGGTTGACCAGTATAACAATGATTCGAACTCTATACTTAAAATAAATTACCAATACTAATAAAGTAATACGCGTGATCTCTTTTCCTTCTCGTAGGAGCATGGACAATCCTAAAGTTTGATATTCGTTTCGTCCTTCCTACATAAATAAACGCATTTTGATGTTTCGGTAGACAGCCTAACTTTTCCTCTTCCTTTATCGATTTCAGAATTCAAACTTTTGATGAAATTGCCTCAATTTTCTCGGCATCCCGGATTTTTCGCGGCAATTGTTTCCATCTAACTTATCGGTAAGAAGAGTTGATGATTTCGGTGAAGATTACCCTCACAATTATCTTTAAATTCGTCTCAGCACTTCTTTCTTTTTTTTTCAACGTCAGGTTTTTTTGGTCAAAAAGCAAATTTGATGCGATTCGTTATTATTATCAATTTTGTTTGCCTTGAAACCTCAGTCACAATCTGATTCGATTCAACCATTAGAATCAGTAGGTTGAAATGCACAAATATATTCTGATGATTCGGCTAGTAATTCTATTACTTTGTGGTTCAACAGAAAACTTCTAAATGAACACGTAATTATAAAGAATATTTGAAGTTAATATTAATTTTTTTTTTAAATTATCTGAACTTTATATTTAATAATAAACTTACTCTGTAAAATGATCGAATAGTTTAATAGTTCTTCCTCGCCTTCACAAGATAAAAAAAATGGTTCTTTACGTTTTCGTACTTCTTTTCCGAATCTTTAATCAATTCTAGTAATTCCGGTGATGCATCGCAAAGTCGCATTCTATATTTATTCGATTTAGTAACCAATGGTGTTCATATAATAATCCTTGATCAACTTCGTCAATAAGGAATTTAACGTCCTCCCGCGTCGCGCGATCAAGAAATAAATAGGTTATACGCTACCATCAACTCCCATCTCCTTTAACTACAAATACAAATCACACCAAACACACTTTATTTTAGCTTCATCAATAAGGAACTTCACGTTCCAGCATATTACGCATATTACGTATATTACGTGACCAAGAAATAACTAATATCCTTGAATAGTTAAAATAAAAATAGTGTAACACCTATTCATACAAGTTTTCCTTCAGTTGTTTCCTCCTTAAGGATTTTGAATATTTCATGATTTTGGCAAGCATTTGGATTATTTCAGCGAAATCGATTTATTTCTTCTTCCGTTTCTGCCTTGTCGACGCTTAGACCCTTCGTCCGGTGTTTCTTCTTGAAACCTCTGTTGCTTTTGTTTGTTCGACTTGATGGGTAACGATTTGCTAGTCGACTTATTGGTCTTGTCACTTGCCCAGTCATTCTAAAATTGTTCATAGCATCCTATGACATGGAGCCAAGGAAGTAAAGGATAATGTTCACAATAGGCTTTTTACTAATAATAACATCAATTCTTCCTGCAAGAAAATATAAATAATAATCAGAATACTTTCTGATTATGTGTTGATATGAAATCATCATAAATGCAAAAAAAAAAGTATTCAATTACCATACGTATTTTCATTCAATTGGAGAAATAGTCTTATTAAATAGCTATCATCATTTACCTATAATAATATTAATAAATTAAATATTGTTTAAAATTAATAAATAGATTCCTTCAATATCTGGCTTTCATTATGATTTAAACATTACCTTAAATTTGATGTAAGAAGTTCTATATGTTGTAGCATAATCTCAACAATCCATCATTGCGATTTAGAAAACTAATATCGTGCCAAATGTAAGAAATGAGCGCCAGCCACAACATATCTTGCTATCTTCTTAGTACCACTGAACCAATTTGTTCAAAGATTGGTTATAAATGTGTAAATATAACATATGGGTAATTAACCTTGAAATATATTATTTATCTTGCATGTAAAAACTGATCTAGTTCTGCCATCACTAACTAGTAGCTCTGGGTGAATTGGAATCATCTTTGATATTAAATTAATTTGATGATTATTCTTATAATCATCTCGCGTTTAAAAACTGATCTAGTTCCGCATCACTATGCTTGATGGATAAATGCTCAATCCCACTTCACCCGCAAAAACTTTTTGCCACGCACATTAAGTTCCCCATGAACTCCAAGGACAAAAAATTCACCGTAAAGTCAACATTTTCAGGAAAGAAAGGATGATCAAGTAGGGACGTGATTATTCATATCTTATATCGGTTGATATTTTCGGTTACATTAACTGAAGATATTCGGCACAATCACTTTAATTTAGGGTTTGGCATATAATTCCTGTTCATCATCATATTATATTGTGCCTAAAGTTTTAATATATTAATTACGTTAACTAAATAAATATTAATACATAATTAAGATCTACAAACTTTAAAAAGAGTTGAGCAAGGTTGCGAGCTTTTCGTGGTATTTAGAGGAGAATAATGAATCTAGGAATGTTTGTTATCGAAGATTGTTAATATAATGAACTAGTGTGTTATTTATCAATGATTTTTTTTTTACGTACTTTAAGAGTTCAAATATTCTAGATACATGTTTCCACGCCAAGACATCGTAGGCGAGATAACTGCGGATGAAATCCATAAGTCGTTATGTGACATAATTCCAATTAGATTTTTAGTATTTGATATTTGAGAACTGAAATAAAAAATTGTACCGGTTTTGATTTATTTAGGATCAGAAGGTAGAGGATCAGGTAGAGGATCAGAAGTTAAAGGATCAGAAGGTAAAGGATCAGAAGGTAGGGTAGAGGATCAGAAGGTAGAGGATCAGAAGATAAAGGGTCAAAAGATAAGATAAAGGATCAGAAGATAAAGGATTAGAAGATTAAGTCGGTATGACCTGCTATACCAATCCCAATCACTGTCAGTGAGTTCATATATTGTATATATATTATGATCCGGTGATATAATAAATATGATAGATATAAAGCGTATAAAGAAAAATAACTAAATATAATTGTAATGCGTATCTTCTTCTTCTTTATTAAACGATCACTAGAAAGAGCAAATTGATTTAAGTATTGGTGTAACAAAGACAACCTTTTAATTTATAAAAACGAACTACCTTTATAAACAGTATCAAGTTCGGAGAACAACCCCGAGTCCCCGATATATTTAAATCCTAAAAATAATAATAATATAAAATCCGCGTAAATATAAAATAATATCAATCTTGAAATCCTTAATAAAATATTTACCCGCTTTATCACAATTGAATATCAAAATAACTAATTCATATCTTTTCTAATTTTCGCTTAGTTTCTTTTAAGCTTCATTCATTTAACATATCGAGAATTACTTTTTTATATGCAAAAAAATCGATAAAGTAAATTCGGGTTCATTTTTTTCGTCCAAAAATCAAATTATCATGTATTCTCTCTCTTTTTATTAATAAGCATTGTTTATTTTCTTTTTTTTCAAATGAATTTTATGACTAAGCTATCAGGGATAAAACGGGTTTTACGCTATTGAGATATTTCTTTTACAAATACTGTTGATCATACTTGTCAAATATTAAGATAAAATATTAGAGTTCAAATATCGTCAGTCATGATAACGAACTGTTTTAGAGAACCTGCATACATACACCTGCATATTTTGTACAAGAAAAGCTTAGTTGTCAGAAGATAATTTCTCTAATTGTACGCGAATCCGTGTGACAATTCGCAATTAAAGTTATATTCTCAGAATCGAAAAGAAATTCTTTGTTGCTTTTGAATAAAAGAACGTCAATATGCATTAAGGAGTTATCCAAACGGCATAAATCAAGTTTTCGTGTGAAAATATTTTTTTTTATGTTGTCCGTAAAGGAATAAATCTTCCTTATCTACATGCAGGAGAAAATGTTTCACAAAAAAAAAATAAATGAATAAATGGGGGTTATTTGGCCCGTTGCCGCAGCGATATGCATATATATATATGCAGCATAAATTTCAAGAAAAAACGCTATATAAAAGTTCTTCACAAAACAAACAAACAAATAAATAAACGCTCATACATACATATAACAAACTTTATTTTACATTTAAAAAAAAAGTGAAGTCTCATAATAATATAACAATATTTGTACGACAATATCTTCTATTTATTTATTAAAACAAAAGCGACCATGCTTGACGAAGCTTTAAAGCGTGAAAAACAATATTGCGCTAATATTTGTTCGCCTAAAACTGATGATGAAAAGGATTATTTTATTAATGATAAAAAAACTATTATTATGCATAATATGCAAATTAAGCATATTATGCATGAATTTATTACTATAACAAAATATATTTAGATTAAAATTTTAAGATTTATAGATGGGTGCTGATGTTACTCATCCTGCTTTGTTCTTGTTTTAAGAATTTTACTACAGAAATCGCGATTCACAAATAATTTACTATACTTAAACTTCCTTGTAGTTTTAGTCTCCACAATTTTTTTTTTTTTTTACTAATTAACCTTCAATGTATTATAAAATATGTATTGTACAAATTAATTACGAGATCAATAGTGATAATAAAATAAATAAACAATTTTTTTTATCC